TAGATAGATAGATAGATAGATAGATAGATAGATAGATAGATAGATAGATAGATAGATAACTGATTATTGACAAAATACCGGCTTCCTATTTCACGAAAGACACTTTCAAGACAGTTCGATAATTATCTATCTCTAGGAAAGAACTTTGCATCAGCTATTATCAGGAGGCTGAATGTCCTCAGAGTGCTACATTGTTATTGAAAGTAAAGATTGTATTTTGGATTCTTTACCTTTGCAGGTGAGCTCAGGTGTGTTAATTACTCCATTAATGGCAGCCTGAGCAGCAGCATTTTGTTTTTTCAGTAATTCAATTGTTTTCCTTAACTCATTCAATTCAGAATCCTGAAGCATGAAGAAATCAAGCATACAAAAAAATCACATTGAAAGTTTCAATAAGTACAATCAATTAACTGGAAAAATGTTTTTACTCTCTGGTAAATCTGTGGCTGGTCCCCGAGCAACAGCCAGCTTCATGGAGCATGTCTCACATCTTCAATCATAGGGTGTAAATTCATGCACAACACTTTTTAATCAATAGTTTTCTCCGTGTGCACAATCCATTGGATATGATGCATTGATTTGTCAAAGATATTTTGTTTCTCGCATTTACATTATGATGCCTTAAAATTCAATTGCCTTAGCACTTATAAACTATATAGATGAGAAGGTGGTACAGTATTACTCAAGTTTTAGGGACTTTAACCAAAACTAGAGCTTCTAAATATGTCGGGCCACAGTCACCTATTCAATAGCCTTTACTGAATTTTGTGGGACCTGACAGCTCAGCTGACAATTGTAGGACTGCACACTTAGATGACTCTAATATCCAAATGACATTGAAGGGAAAATGTAACACCAAAATTGTCTAAGTAGTCAGTTCTGAATACATATATTTTCTACTTTTAACTTTATGATAGGTCTACTGTTCTACAGAAAATATTCTTGATTTATGTTTAAAATGTATTAGTAGATAGAAAATATGATAAATTTTATTTATAGCTAGGATTGTTTCTATATCATATACTGTATTTATAGGAAAACACAATAAAAGTGCAATATTGGCTTAATGGAATCATTTAGTGTTGTTTTATTTCAGAGATAAACATATCTCCCTTTATGTAAACTTTTTAAATAAGAACCCATCTGGAAACTATCTGTAAGCTATTTGGTTATAGTTGAATGGGATGCAACTGAAATTATCAAAGTATTTTTTGCTGAAATGCTAATTTTTTAGAATTGGAGAGAGAATGTCAAGAAAATAGGGTTTGTAAAAAACTCTGTGAATGGAAATTAGAAACCTAGACTGACATTAATTGCTCAGGTAAGTGGTCAACAATCTCTTATATTCTTTCTTACAGGAAAGTTTATATGTTGATCACTGGCAAAAGAGCAAATCAAAATTCTGACATGTGCTGAGTTTTACTTTGCTTGCTAGCTTGATTTCAAAATCATCATTTACGATGAACTCAATTTCAAAAAGTTGATTTTGGAATCATTGGAAAACAAACAAGGGAATGTCAAACTTGCCTTCTGTTCTGCAGTCATGGTAAGACTTTGCAATCTAATAGTCATGTTTCCTAGGCTCTGCTCGAATGCTGCCACGAGGTGAGCCTGTAAATTAAATCATATGATCCAGTTGATTGTGAGCTTATCTGCTGAAAAAAAATTGTAAAATACTGCACAGCATACATCATAATCCACAGATGGTTCCACTCTGCTGCAAATGTCATTTACAAACTCAATATAGACACTTGAGATGTGGGAAGCAAAATCAAATAGCTTTATAGCAACTAGCTATACACTTCTTGAATGGATAGCATTACCTAATCAAGGAACAAGTTTCCACAATTTCTTATTCAGAGCTGTGGCACCTGTTCCAACTAATAAGAACTTTTTAGTTATGCTGTTGCAGAGTTAGCAATCAGTGCAGGGTGCTGATACTGAGTCTGATACAAACATGAATCTCTGACATATAATCTAAAGCAGTGGTAGTCAACCTGGTCCCTACCGCCCACTAGTGAGCGTTCCAGCTTTCATGGTGGGCAGTAGGGGTTTGCTGTATAAATTTTCTAAAGTAAAGTTACTTCCCTACTTTATAAATCACCATTACTGTGGAACCGATGGGCGGTTAGAAAATTTTACCACTAACAGATTCAAAAGTGGGCGGTAGGGACCAGGTTGACTACCACTGCTTTAGATTATATGTCAGAGATTCATGTTTGTATCAGACTCAGTATCAGCACCCTGCACTGATTGCTAACTCTGCAACAGCATAACTAAAA